AATTTGACAGACACACAGACAGAGAGAGAGAGAGAGAGAGAGAGAGAGAGAGAGAGAGAGAGACTCACATATATTATATTAAGCATGTAACTGAACACAATCCCTTACCTCTGAAAAAAGTTACTTTGCAATGTTTTTCTTCGCTGTCCTCCATTTGCTCCGCAAATATTTCATGAAGATATTTTGCCAGCCACATCAGCTTACGATAACAATATAATCAAGGTGGAAAATCGCTGGAAAGTCCCACAAAATCGCCACTAATCAGTTTCTGCACAGTTTTTAAGTGATTTCCATTTTTTTTTTTTAACCAACCTACCCAACAAGTAGTAGTAGTAGTAGTGTAGGCAACCAATGTCTCTCTGGAAGGTTACCCACGAAGTGCAAAATTTCACGTACGCTAACTGACTCTAGAATGTGACAACATCTCTAGTGAAGCCTGGATGCCTGATGTGCTTCAGTTTTTTTAGGCTTCAAATGAAACCTCTTTCAGGTGGTCATGGGTATGGTAAACAAAAGTAAAATACCTGAAAAATGCAAAAATAGGGCCATCTCGAGTTTTACTGAGCAAGACAAATGTATTATAATAATCTTTACTCTTTGGAACATTGCCAATGGCTGTCAGCGTCATATCCATTGTTTGATCAAATGAATCGAACTTAAAGAGATCTCTTTCTTTAAATATATTCATTTAATCAATATCAGCAGCTCTAGAAGAAGCTGAACTTGAAGCAGTTGCTCTCTTTTATTGGAGCTGGTGTGCCACAACATGATGGTGGTACTTCTGGAAATATTGTTGGAGACTCTGTGGGCACCATAAATCTTCCAGCCCGTGTCAAAGGTACATCAGGTTTGAAGTGCTGAGAGCAAACTCCCAAAGAGAGAGAGGGGGGGAGAGAGAGGGGGGGAGAGAGAGAGGGGGAGAGAGAGAGAGAGAGAGAGAGAGAGAGAGAGAGAGAGAGAGAGAGAGAGAGAGAGAGAGAGAGAGAGAGAGAGAGAGAGATTGTGACCAACTGACGGGATGATGGATAGAATGACAGGGAGAAATAAAAAATATTTTTTTTATTTCTCCCTGTCATTCTAGAAGTGAGATACGGACTGTTCAATTATAATATAAGAGTTTTATGTTATATAGCTAGTTTAAAAATTAAGAAGATCGGCAAAATACGAAGAGAACGTATCCAAGTAACATAAAATTATCAAACATACCAAATTATAAAGGTAATCTTTCAAGACGCTAAACGATTTAATTATAATAAGAAATGGTGAAAAATGTATTTTTTAAACTGAATTTAAGATATGACTGCATGATTCTAGGCGTGTGCCATAACTAGCGTTATGTGTAAGGAACAGAGAACACAAAAGAGGGTCGATGCCAGCTTTATCTGATTGCTAACAGTACTATGTCTTGGTCTATAAATAATAATAGGCCTATAATTGATTACAATAATTTTGTTTCCTGTTTTTCACAAAGTGGAGCTCACAATAATTTCAAATATAAAAAAGAGAGATAACAGCACTTTTGGACTTTTCGAATGAGATCAAAACTTATTATACTTGGCGTAAAAAAAAAACAGACACCCCTTTTTTAGTGTTTTTTTTTTGTATTGAAAGACTGATTTTAACCAGAAACAATCTCTCTATAAGGAAAGTTTGAACATTTTACAAATCAATTACACAAAAAACAATTTTTTTTAAATGAACTTTATTTCCTGAAATTTGATCTTTTAATTGTAGGCCCTAAAATGAAAAGTCACAGTTAATACTGCGTATAGCCGCCTAGGCATTGGCGACTTCTGTGCAGCTCTGTCGCATGCTTTGCAAAAGCCTTTGTATGGGAAGCTGTGGAATGTTGTTCCATGTTTGTAAGTGCTGTACGTAGCTGTTCCAAGGTGACCGGCTGAGGTCTATGGCGTCGGCGCACAGTCTCCGTCCCTTCCACTCCCTGGCTGTCTTGGTAGCAGGCCGGAAGCGATCTCGTAGGTGCAAGACCCGAATGTACTGGTCAAGGGCTGGTGTTGTAGCTCTAGGACGACCCGTCCGGGGACCATCCTGCACGGATCCAGACGTCTGCAAACGAGTCATTAGTCGATATATCGTGTCTCTTGTCACATTGAAGGTCCTTGCAACATTCGCGTCTGGTGTATTGGCCCTCAGCATACCAACTGCCTGATTGCGCTCTTCGTTCGTTAAACGCGGCATGCTGTATCTTTAGATTTAGACGTTTTAAAATGAAACTTTTAACGTTTTATTCTTGGCTACAGATAAAAGATGTGTTAAACCCATAAAATAAAATTTAAAAAACCAAAAACGTTCGAGAAAAATGACAAAACACGGTTTTTAACAAAACAGGACCCGAGCTTTATTAACTGGGCACCTGATCATAAATGCAGGTTGATCAGGAGCGTCAAGTGTTCACAATCATGTGTGGAAAATTTCAGCCCAATGGGCTTTCAACTTTTCATGAAACACGCAATTAAAATGTGTCTGGTTTTTATTGACGCTAAGTATATTATTGATGCAGAAATAGTACAGTCTTTGTTAGCTTGTGTCGTTGCGCTCCTCTGTCCTTAAGCGATCATTCAGCTGCCGTTCATGGTGATGGGCAATCATGTTGGCATATTATTCTAAATGCCTCCCTGATAATTTGATGGACATGGGTATGAGGCGGCCTTGTTGGCCCTACCTAACGAATTATGCCTTGACTGTAAGCTCAGGCGGTAGGCTCTTGCGAGTTCGATGTTCGGCAAAATCAAAGGCGTCAATGAGGAGTTCACACCTGGGCGTGATCCCTTTTTGTCGTAAAATCCTTGCGTCTGGAGCAAACTTGTACCTCGCATCGAGATTTAGAGCGGAGATGTGATCCCATGCATGAGTGTGGATGACCTTTGAAGGTTGTTTTTTTTGTTCAGTAAAGTACGATAAGGAAAGCAGCGTTTTTAGACCCTTCACACTTCAGAGAGGGATAATTTATCTTAGGGATGACTTGTGTAGTAAAATTTGTTGTTGCTTTGTTTGGTTTATTTTTAACAGCGGAATCTTAAGTGAACCAGAATTATAAATTGTGGGATCTTAAGTGAAGACTACAACAATAGATTCAAACCGAGTATAGTTCTATCAAACAAGACTCAAACTCTTATCCACCCACCCTACCCCCTCCCTTTATCTGATGTGGTTTGGTGTTTCTTTAACATAGAAGATATTCACCATTATTGTTGTTGGGTATTGATTTCATATATTTTAATGGAGCCTCTCGATATCTACATTTAGACAACAGTAGTCCTATAGTAATTAGGAGATGAATGAGCTTAAAAACATAAGGTGTATGATTAGTCAATATAATATGAAAACAAGATACATGTAGAAACCTAGACTCTAGATTTTGTCCCCTCAAAATAATGGTCTGCTGCGCATAGCATCTAATTTGCACACACAATGGAAAGCCATATATACTTTAATTAAAATGTATTTTATGTATATATATATATATATATATACACACACACGCACCCAAACACACACACACACACACACACACACACACACACACACACACACACACACACACACACACACACACACACACACACACCTAAGAATAAGAATTTTTGTAAAAATCAAGTATCTCGGTCTTTCTGCTGGGGTGCTGTTACAGTGTATCCCTTTCAGCCCGGGTTGGCCATGGCAGGTGGCGCCGGAGCCAGCCTCTTATAAATGTGAATGATCTAAATTGTGTCACTGGGGGCATAAAAACACTTTCATTCAGATTTTTTTTAAAGGAAAACAACACCTGTGAAAACTTCTGTCCTCTGCAGCATCATATCGGTTCTTACACTTACACACAACACAGGTGGAAGGCATATTTTTTACTACCTGACTACAAGGACCTCGGAATAAAACCTTCTTTCTACTTATCTAGATTTCAGTGCGCGAGTCGAGCAGTCATGCAGCGCAGGTAGACCATAGTTCCGCTTCGGGAGAGGGCTCCTATCAGGCGTGCGGTGCCGCCCACAGAGCATCCTCCATTACCTTAGTTCTAAGATCCTTGGGGTCTACCTAGCCTAGGCCTAGACACTTCCTTTTGTAGAGAAGCAAGGAGCTTAGAACTATTATGTTCCTACTTTAGGCTAATCTCCTTGTAGAGAAGCTAACCTAACTGGCATTTGTTGTGAAATGTGAAGTGTGAAACCTGGCCAGTGGCTAGTGTCACTGTTTTGATGCGAAAGAGCAGCCAGTTGTTGGTGCTGGAAAAAAACAATTACATGCTCATATATTCATGTTGTTTACTGCAAAACAGTTCCTAATTCTATAGTGCTGTCAAAGGAATAATTGTTCCAGATGCCTGAACGTAAGAATATTGCATCTCCCAGTTGAATTGACCTGATAAGATCTAATTTTTCATTACTTTCGACATAGTAAACTAAATATAATATAACCAGTTATCGATAGTCAATATAATTTGGAGGTAATCAATTAGGAGGTGCTTTTTCGGTAGTTCCCACCCAGCAATTGTTGTTCACTGGTTTTGGCCCCAAGAGTAGGGGGGCAAGCTAATAAAAATATGGTGGGGGGGTTTCAGGGGAGGCATGAATTTGACCACCTTTATTCTCACAATTTGCAGAAAAGAACAATGTCATAATATATAATTTCAATCGAGCAGTCACCCTCTCTATTTCTCTCTCTCTCTCTCTCTCTCTCTCTCTCTTTCTCTCTCTCTCTCTCTCTCTCTCTTTCTCCTCTGTGTATCTCTCGCCTTTTCTTCTTTTTGTTTGTCTCTGTCTTTCTTTCTCCCCACCTATTTCCCAATCTATCTTTTTCTCGTTCCCTCCTGCCAACATTTTGCTAGCACTTCCCCCTGGTCTCTCTGTCTCTCCCTCTCTCTCTCTCTCTCTCCCCTCTCTCTCTCTCTTTCTCTCTCTCTCTCTCTCTCTCTCTCTCTCTCTCTCTCTCTCTCTCTCTCTCACACACACACACACACACTACCGGGTCTGGGCGCTGAAACTTTCCGAAATCACAAAAGAGTTCCCCTACCGGGTCTGTATACTTCGTGACTTTGTTCCCGGTTACTGGGTCTGTATACACTTTGTATTGGAAATGCTATCCTCGACCGGTCCAGAAATACTGAGATTCTAGCATTTTTGATTCTAGGCTGCCTTCTGATACTAAAATGATGATTTCATCCCAAAGTACAAAGGTGATTTCGAGTGATTCCTATTGTTTTTGAGTGTTTCCTAGTGTTTTCGAGAAAAATAAACACCGCCCCTGGCATCAGTAACAATTTTTAAAAACTCATGCAAAACGATAACACGAGAGCGGACCATTGCACAGTGAGGCTCAAAAGTAGTCCCAGCTTCGTTCAGTATTGGGTCCACCAAAGTTTAAAAAAGAAAAAAGGGAGATAAGGATGATAGATGTTTGATAGGAAAGAAGAAGCAAACCACGCCAGACCACCCGCCAACCACCCACGCTCCCACCCCTGTGTGGGCATGAGCCCCTGACCTCTCGCAGGCTGATAAAATCACTATTAAAATAATAAATTCCTCGATTTCGTGTGGCCCTACTGCTTGCCTACAGTCAAAAACCTACATGTAATAGGCCCTTTAAATGTAAAGTTTAAAAAAGTGACCTCTTTGGGACCAGAAGAAAGTGTTCACTTTATCCGAGGTTCAGTTTTTCAGGGTGGGGGCCTAGAAACAGTAGCATGCGCAGTGGTGGGTCTAGGGTGGAGGTGGGGTGGGAGGACAAGACAGCGGGCGAGCCTAGACTGACTAGAGCTCTTTCTTTTTTATTGAGATTGCCGTCACCAATGCCGAGCTGGGATTGTCCGCCGATGCTCGAGGCAAAGAATTTTATTTTCACAGCATGGCGACAGTGACACGGTCGGTCTGTTCTTCGCTTTCACTCATTTTGGACGTTGACGTTGATTTCCCCATGAAACCGGTTCATTTTATCCACTATTTTTTTACATTTCTATCGGGACCTCAGAATATCGTTAACTTTAACTGATTGTTCTACTAAAGCATGTTCATTTTAGGCGGACTCCACTGTAGAGGGTTTTATACCCAGTGCCCATTGAGGCACGGTTTGTGCCACGGTAATGGTTGCTTTGCGCCCTCAATCTGGTTGGTCCCGCCTACCAAATTGGGTCTCTAACACACCGATGGCCAACCAATCTCCCCACTCGCGGCCTTGAAAACAAACACCTTTGTTTTTTAGACTGCAAGTGGAGCAGTCGGTTTGTGCCACGGTAGGGTTGCTTTGCGCCCTCAATCTGGTTGGCCCCGCCTACCAAACCGAACTGATGGGCACTGGGTATTAGGGTTAGGTGTAGGGGTAAGGGTAGGGGTTAGGTCTCTTCTTTATAGTGTTTGTTGGGGTGGGCGCTCGTGACGGAAGTCCTTCCCTTGCCACACAATGGCTACCCATGCATCTTGAATCATATGGTGACTCGCAAATGAAAGTGGATACTGGATTATATGGGATTTCTCCCCTTGACTTTATGAAATGAGAATTCATCCCTTTACAGATTAAAATTATCCTCATGAGCTCAGCATGAGAGGAGGGTTCAGCACTTGGAAGTAGGAATTTTAACTTCAAATTCAAATAATTCCAACCCCAAAATATTAGCATGATTTTACCTTCAGGATGCAGACTGGAGCAGGGACTGACGTTGCTAACTAATTAGAAAAAAACGTTCTGATAAATTTCTTTTGTTTTCCATTTTCATTTATTTATTTTGCTATCCTCAGGAGGCGAAAATGAGGTGTTTTCCAACCCTCTGCCCCCAGCTGGGCACAGGGTGTCTACGGAGGAGGATGCTGATGATGAGTAAGTGGACACTTTTATTGAACTGGTTCAAATTTTAGAAAATTTAAAACAAGATGCCACATGATGGTGTTCTTGATACTAAGCGTTACAGCATTCTAAATTTTATTGTTTTGTCAGTAAGCAAATTGTGCCCCTGCCTCATGCCAAACCCTCCAACCTGCAGAAACTGGAAAGAAAGCACAATGAAGCAGAAAGAATCGTCTCGTCACGGCTGCTCAAAGGATACTCCTGTTGACAGCCTCCTCATTGAAGCAGACATTTTACCTCTAAAGCATAGAGCTGATGCCTTGACTGCTATTTCACTCGAGAAGTCCATGCGTCTGCCTGCAAAAAATCAACGCAGAGCCTCCGCAACAAAATCAGTACCCATGCGGACAGGCAAATCGAGCTGGAGAAAGCATGCGCAGAACCTCGTACCTGAAACTGAACTGGATACTTACACAAGTGAGGAGCAGGTTGTTTTACCCCCCCCCCCCCCCCCCCCACACACGACTGTGGAAGGCTGTATCATGCAATGTGACCTTTAGCCCCGATCTCGTCGTCGACTGCAAGTGTACTAATGAACTAGCAGTCAGGAAAGCAGCAGCAGAGGCTACCATTCGATCGCTCCCCCTGGACTGGCGGTTCAGCTGAACACAGTACCAAGTATGGAGGCAGCGGAATACTGATCAAGACCGGTGATACCGAACTCGACCACCGTGTACCCGCGGGCCGGTATTGTTCCAGCTACAGGGCCGAGTTTGTAGCTCTAGACGCAGTACTGGGCATGCTTGATTCACTACATACAGCAGGCAGTCTTTCGAACAGTGTACACATTAAGGTATACACTGATTCCCGGTCAGCAGTCATGCGCCTTTCATACGGCCCCGTCAACCGATCGGAAAAGGTGGTGTGCTCAATCTGGCAGTGTCTGTACACCCTCTGTCAACACTCCAAATGTTCTATCCACTTACAGTGGATTCCAGGCCATGCTGGACTGGCTGGGAACGAGGAAGTTAACAGCATCGCTAAAGAAGCAGCAGCGCTTACCCAGATTGACACGCCAATCGATTTCTCAACAGCTAAAGCCGTCATCCGCAAGTCGACCCGCACAAAGTGGAACGGAGAGGCAAAACCCAAACTGCGGTTTACCCAGCCGCCATCATACCAGCTTGAGGCCTCGCTCAGACAACGGGACTGCTGGCTTTTCTCCCAAATGAGAACTGGTGGAAAGTTGCCCAGACTGAGATATCTCCGCAAAATTGTGCCAGCGGACTACCCAGATCTGTCCTGTCGAGCCTGCAAGGAGGAGGGTAAGACTATGGACCGTGTGTTCCTGAGATGTCCCGCCAACTATCTTGCCAGAACTCGTCTGCCGGGACACTTCAGTGACCCACTTTCATTACTTTTCAAGGACCCCCAAGCAAGTGTTGAATTCTTGCGTGCTGTCGGCATCGCTGACCATTTATGACACCACAGCGTCAGAAGAGAGAGAGAGAGAGAGAGAGAGAGTAAGCAAAGACTGAAAAGTTTTTCTTTGCAGAAAGTGTTAATTATGTCCAGTAAGTGAAATGTTGTGGGGAAAATTTTTTCAGTTGACTTTTTATTTATTAATGGTTTGATTTATTTTTTAAAAATACTGTTGCTATGTAATCCCAGCATTCATTAGTGCTTTGAGGTAAATATATATCAAACATTGAAGCTTCAAATGACATACAAATTCTGTTGTTGTCTGAGGGCATGTACTACAGTTTCCAAATTACAGTTATACTTACTTATGATTTAAATTGCCCTTGTGAGATTTCCTGTGGTTTTTTTCTTCTTCCAGGCATCCTCTTACAAATGAGGATTTTCGAAAAATGCTTATGACCCCTAAAGCTGGTTCAACAACTTCTTATACAGAAACTGTGAAGCATGCAAGAAAAGAGTGAGTAAAAACTTTTTTGGGGGGGCGGAGCTTAATTTTGGATAGAAGGGTTTAACTTACTGACAGGGTTCCCGCGGCCTCCTTGAATTCAAGGAGTCCTTGAAAACTGCTTGAATTTGCTTTCAAGGAAAAATCTCCTGGAAAACTCCTTGAATTTTTTCAAGATCAGACAGGAACACGTGTACAGGGTGACTGCCAGGCCCCGGGAATCCCAGGGGCCCCTGGAATTACCCAACAATTTGAAAAAAATCGCCGAGACCCGGAATGCAACGGGAATTTGAAGAAATCTGTAAATTGCCCCGTGAAAGACCCAGGAAAATACCTAAACGTTCTCGAATATATTTGAAAACCAAATCCGATAACGTCCTTGGGTCCATTTTTTCTGGTCGCGGTTGTGATGTAATATAATTCATTCGGCCGTTCCCAGCCCGAGAGTACGTTACACGCGCACAGGCGGTTATGGCGGCAACAAGTGGAAGTGTATATGCGATACCGAAGCTCGATCGGGAAAATCAAGATCTACTTTCGCTTTCGTTACCACCAAGAAATTTGCCGGTAGGGCCTAAAGTAGTCTGTTAGGGCCACATTTGTAACATGCAGGTTCTGTTTTAAAAACGCTGTGTCGCCATGAAAACAATTAGTTTGTCCTGTGCTGTCACTTGTGAAAAAAAACAGAAAGAAAAAGAAAGTTATATAAGCTTCTTGTGGGGCTCGCCGTCGTGACCGGTCATTGAACCTGTGCGTTTTCGTCACATCGTGAGTATCGACGATGGTTGAGGTCACCAAAGTTCATGCTAAGTCTGAGCGCTGCGAAGAATAGGACTCGGGAAAGGGGAGATTCTTCTTCTTTTTTTTTAAGACACACGCGGTGGGGGGGCTGGGCTGAGGTTGAAGGCAACACCGGATGACAAAAACTGAACTTGGAAGCAGATTTTACTTTTCAGAATTTTGATTACTACTATCTAGAGC